TTATGGGTTGCCATTGACTGAATTTTCAGACTAAGCTCACCCATTGTTATGGGTTGCCCGTGACTGAGTTCTTGTACTATAGGCTCACCCATTGTTATGGGTTGCCAATGACTAAATCGCTGGGCTTGTCCCACCCATTGTTATGGGTTGCCATTGACTGAATTTTCAGACTAAGCTCACCCATTGTTATGGGTTGTCCGTGACTGAATTCTTGTACTATAGGCTCACCCATTGTTATGGGTTGCCAATGACTGAATTGCTGGGCTTGGCCCACCCATCGTTATGGGTTGCCAATGACTGAATTGCTGGCCTTGGCCCATCCATTGTTATGGGTTGCCAATGACTGAATTTTCAGACTAAGCTCACTCATTGTTATGGGTTGCCCGTGACTGAATTCTTGTACTATAGGCTCACCCATTGTTATAGGGTGCCAATGACTGAATTACTGGGCTTGGCCCACCCATTGTTATGGGTTACCAATGACTGAATTTTCAGATTAAGCTCACCCATTGTTATGGGTTGCCCGTGACTGAATTCTTGTATTATAGGCCCACCCATTGTTATGGATTGCTAATGACTGAATTGCTGGGCTTGGCCCACCCATCGTTATGGGTTGCCAATGACTGAATTGCTGGCCTTGGCCCGCCCATTGTTATGGGTTGCCAATGACTGAATTGCTGGGCTTGGCCCACCCATTATTATGGGTTGCCAATGACTAAATTCATGGACCGTATGCCTACCCATTATTATGGGTTGCCAATGACTGAACTGCTGGGCTAGGCCCACCCATTATTATGGGTTGCCAATGACTGAATTCATGGACCGTATGCCTACCCATTATTATGGGTTGCCAATGACTGAACTGCTTGGCTAGGCCCGCCTATTATAATAGGTTGTCAATGACTGAATTCTTGTACTATAGGCTCACCCATTGTTATGGGTTGCCCGTGACTGAATTGCTGGGCTAGGCCCACCCATTATTATGGGTTGCCAATGACTGAATTGCTGGGCTTGGTCCACCCATTATTATGGGTTGCCAATGACTGAATTTTCGGACTAGGCCCACCCTTTGTTAAGGGTTGCCAATGACTGAATTTTTGGACAAGGCCCACCCATTATTATGAGTTGCCAATGACTGAATTGCTGGGCTAGGCCCACCCATTGTTATGGGTTGCCAATGACTGAATAGCTGGGCTAGGCCCACCCATTGTTATGGATTGCCATGACTGAAGCACTGGACTAAGCTCACCCATTGTTATGGGTTGCCAATGACTGAATTGCTGGGCTAGGCTCACCCATTGTTATGGGTTGCCAATGACTGAATTGCTGGGCTAGGCCCACCTATTGTTATGGATTGCCAATGACTGAATTGCTGGGCTAGGTCCACCTATTGAGGGTCCAAGTCTTTGCAATATTGAGTAACTTGGCCCAATATCAAATCTCTTGTGGCATTTGTGAGTTATACTGATTTTCAAACATTACTCTTTGAATTGTGCTTTGAGAGTCATGCAACTAACTTAGGAAGTACATTGTTTGATGTTGGACATTTTCTCTTACGCTGTGGTAACACAAGGGAAATGGGGACCTAATTGATGTTCAGGAAACAACTTATGAGTCTGCTGTGCATCTTAGACTAGTCTTTAAAAATTGCAAAAAATTACATTGAATATTGATTTAGTAATATTAGTAGCCAGGATTTACAATGTAGTAGTTCATCTTTGATTGTTAGAGATTCCAGCATGCAACTGGTGGCTTGATGACACCCTAAGATGATGAATCACACTTGAAGCCATGGAAATGCTCAGTGATGTTTGGTTACTGACAAATCAGTCATCCTGCGAATACTATAGCAGTTGTATTTATCATATTTAATATACATACTAATTATGTCAAATTCTACAAACTGAATTTTACTGAAAATACAACTTGACAACACCACTTATTGATCTGTTTTTACCAATCTGTGTTATTTACAGGATTTGGCTGATGAAGAAGTTCTTATACAGCTCAACCCATCCATGTGGTATTGCATTCTTTGTTGTTTTCCAGTTCCTGCTGCAAATGTTAGTATACGTTTAATGCTATATTCCTTCCATAATAATTGCCAGAGAATTTATTTACAATTGTCTGTTATTCTGATGCTGCTTGCCTTCACCTATTTCTCTGATACACTGATTATTGACTCTTCGTGGATATATTTTTGCAGATTTAAATTTAATGTATACATGTTTATTGTTTGGCACATTTCATATGTTATTAATTTTAGTCCCAAGAGGCTGCACGTCATCTAAACAGTGGGAAACATGTTGGTAGTATAAACAATACAAAGAAGCAGTCAATTTTCAAACCAGTAAGTATTCAGACATCAATTAATGACATGCATGTTGTTTATAGTATACCTCATAGTATGCACGAAGACAGTACAGCTGGAGTTTCAATCGAAGCGGCGTTCTGTCTGATTGCATACTTTGAGGTATTCTCGTAATAACCTTATTATTATACATCTTTTTCTTCCAAGGATACTCCATGGGAATGCCGAAATCCAAAATGCTTAGAACAGAATCAGCAAACTTCTTTGTGTTGAATGAGATGGCAGCCATGTTTGTTTTTATTATTAGAGGACACGCATAATCATTCCATATTTGGAATTAGCATTTCCTTATATGGCAGGATGGAAATACCATGTAAAATATTGCAAAATTATGGCATGCTGTAACTTATGGCGTTACGGAGACAAATGTATAATAGTATGACTTATTCATAATGTATTTACTCTTAAGACTATTGTAATCACATCTTAAATAGGTTCCATTATGTCCCTAAAATTGCATGTACTGTATGTACTTTATATAAATATGACAGAGGTGTGGCTGTGTTCAAATTTTTAATGCATTCTATTTTAGATTTAGTTAGGAAGATGCAACTTGTGTTAATTAATATGATGATGTTAAACAAAAGATCTGAATAAAATAACAGACAATGATTTCTGCCATTCCGGAACTGAATCAAATTTTTTCAAATTGAAATTGCATTGCAACAGGGCTATTAACTATTTCTCAGGTATGGCTGTGCTGATTTCTCTCAAACTTGGCACTGAAATTATCTCTTTCACAGAAAAATTATATCAGCTTTGTTAAATCATCATGTATAAATCCCTGTACGTCTCCTTTAAAATGTATTTTTGATGTTTTTATTCGTCCCCATTTAGAGACATTCTAGAGATTCTAGTAAAGAAAGACATTCAACATCAACTAGTGAGTTAGCAAATGAAGGGCTTTCTATCGCAGAGTTCTTTTCTGCCAGAGTCCGTGATGAAGGGAGATGTGAACCTTTACCTGAAGAATTTCCTGCTGCCAAAAATGTAAAGATTCCATCATTGATGTCTATGAATATACCACCTCCCACAAAACCAATACAACAGCAAGTATGTCACTATTATTCTCTCACTTATTACACTTACTTATATAAGGTATGAAATAAAGGAATGATGGATATTTAAAAAAAAAATCACATTTGTATCTATAAGAAAGTATGCTTTATTTGAGATTTTGCATATTTGTATGATGACATGAGACCAGCATCTTTTCAAGATCACATACCATGCTGAATTGCTGGGCTAGGCCCACCTATTGTTATGGCTTGCCCATGACTGGCTAGTGGAATGAGCAATGTTTCGTGATTCGGTGTGGGTGTATAGGTGTGGGTGTACTTGCATTGTTCTGAGAACCAAAAAAATGTATATACCAACTTCTGAGGACATACATATAAATTATGTTTTTCGAGGACTATGAAAATGGTCCTCGGAAAACATAATTTATATTAATAGGTAATTCGATTATTACTACGTTTTTCGTAGCTTAGGTTTAGTATTGGGGGAAGGTACAGTATGGTTCAGTTTATATTAATATAATTGTACCATACCTTCCCCCGATACTAAACTTAAGCTTCGCAAACTATTCTATGTTCAGTCACGGGATATACAAGTTTTGTTTAATTAAACTTAATTAAAATGCAATTCTACATTGTACTGCATTGTAATTGAGTTTAATTAAACTTGATTATAATGCTACCATATATAGGAACGTGTTTTAATCAAGTTCATATCGCAACTATATTAAAAGTTAATCCAATGAAGTCCTTGGAACATATAGCAATGTTAAGTATGTGTGGGTGTGAGTGGGTGTGAGTGGGTGGATGATTGTTGTTACTAGATTATGTTCAATGAGCAGGTCAATATGAAGCACCCACACTTGGCTCCTGTTTTGTTTTGTTGTAAAATAATTTTAATCGAAATTTATATCATCAACACTTGTAAGGAATGTTGGTCTGTTTCTGGCTACAATGACTATATTTATAGCAACCAGTTAAAGCATGTTATTTTCTAAACTTTTTAGCTAAAAGATAATCATATAGCTGATTGTTCATCTGGCCCGATTTTGACTTTAATACGCAAACTTTTTCTTGATGTTACCTAATATGAATGCTCTGATACCTGATATGCCGAAGTCTTAAGTGAACTTCTTTTAGAAATATTCTGAGGAAATCTTTATGAAGTATTCACCCATGAAATCAGCTAAAATAATATCCTACATTACATAGTGATAAATGATGTACTTCTTTGCTTATCCATAAATATAATTACCATATTTTCTCTATTAGTAATGTGTACATTTACATAAATTACAGGCTGGTGTTTCTATGAATAAATAAAGTCATATTTTTAATTAATCACTCAGTAAACAACTTTTTTATACAAAAATCTTGTTTTTTTTATATTTAGCTTCTTTTGGAGATGCACTTCTAATAGAGCAAATACAAAAATACTGTATACCAATTTTTTTTTTATATTTAGCTTCTATTGGAGATGCACTTCAAATAGAGCAAATACAGTATATCCCTACCAGTTCAACATTCACCCTATGTTATACAAATCTCTAGGTCAATCTGAGCAACAGGTGAGAACTCCTGTGCATCCACTCTGAACTACCGGTAACCCACATTCATTGAACTCTATTATTGTTCAATCCAACGCCATGCACACAGGAAGATATTACAGAATTGTTATCACTTGAGACAATCATACAGTTTCCATGCTTACTGCATATTAAAATTGTTTGAATATGTATTAATAATCTTCATGGTATGTCTGGGCTGATTAATTTATTGCTGGGAAAGGATTGACCAGCTTTGTTATTAAATTGTTCAGCTTGGAATGTGTCTGAACCCCCTCATTAGTATGCAAGAATGTAGGAATGTACCAAGAAAATTGTTTTTCTGGAGTAAATTGTAGTGTATTTTACTTATGAATGGTCAAAAAGTGCATGGAGATTTTATGAAAATGTGTGGATGTTAACAGAATGATTTCGTTTGGTCACAGTTGCGCAATAAATGATGGACTATTTTGGGCGTAGCTATGAAATGTGTCACCGAAGTACTCACACGTGTGCATGGATTCCAATAGTTTGTGTTGTGAAGAAACTCCATTAGAAAATAAGTAGTGTGTAATTTGTAGTGAGAATGTATTCAAATAGATTTGTGTTTATGAATCTTGTTTCTTTTCAAAGTGTATTTATATAATAAAAATTGTTTATGAAAATGTTTATACTTTTTCGATGGATTGAATTTACAAATGATGAGTTATTTTGTTATACCATCACTCGAATTGTGGGTTACAAATTTCTGATAGTTTAGGCTTTGTGTTTTTGCAAACGGGAAGACATTTACTGGTGTACAGTGGATAAAAGCGAACGTATTTCGAAAGTCATGCTACTGTTTTGGCATTATACAACTTGCAGTTCCCTTTTGATGGATTTTGTGTGACTGGCCATGGTATCGATCTGTAGTATTATGTAAATCTGTCCCGGGAAAATCTGCAAGCAAAGTTTAAATTGCCATTTTCACGCTACGTTATAACGTGGAGTCGTCATCTGAGTATGCACGATTGTTCGTCTCGTGTTCCCCAACGCATTTAAAAAATCCCTTTTGAATTTGGGGGACTTTGTGTGACTGACCGTGGTGTTTGTAAACATTAGTCAAACTGCAGTAGTGTGTAAATTTGCCACAACGTGGAGTTGCCATCGTCTCTTGTTTACCAACCCATTTAAATACGAGGACTGAAAAGTGATTTCCATTGACTTCGTCTGTTATAAATCAGTTGATTGTATTAGCTTCCTTCGAACTTCCTATTGCCATCGGGATTATGTCTACTACACTTGGCGGTGTAGTGCGTATCGATCTTCTTGTATGAAACGAACCCGGAAATCGATGGCAAATCGAGATGGTCGGGTCGCGTAATGTCTTACCTTGTTCTTGACCGCAGCATGCTTGGCTATGAACTACACATACCCACGCTTATGGGAATAGTGCATCGTGGGTAATACTGTATTGATCGAGGTGAAACAAACATGGCTGCCGTAATGTCTGTTGTTCAACTACATCGCTGGTGTTTCTCTTCTCTGTTTTCTTTGATTTTTTTTTATTTCAATTAAACAGCGATTTGGCTGTGGCCATGCATTTAGTCATTGTTGACTGTTTTTCTCGAATTGGCTGATTGTCATAGTCAATACGCTAAGTACAATTAAACGTCCCGAGTTGAACAGTAGTCATTTCTAAGGTTTAAAATAAATAAACAAACATGATTTCCAAAATAAATAAATAATAACACGTACCCTCATGTCTACTTCAAGTTTTCATTAAAACAAAGTCAAAGTTTTTGAAATTGCTTTTCTGCCTGTTCGCCAACCCATTGCTCCAAAACACACCTTTAAATACTCTTTATTTTCCCAGCATCGAGATGGCTCTGCCAACTCTTGTTTCAATTTGTTAAAACATCACACATGACATGGGTACTGATGCTCAGCGGTTTGTTTGATTTGTTTCAAAATAGCCTCTTGGCGGCCATGTTGGTCGTAATGGTTTTGTTCTAAGTTAGTACAAAGGCATGGCATAATGGGGTATATTTATTCATGCCCATCTGTTTTTCTTTAGAATGTTCCAGTTCCACCACCTCCAAAAAAGCAAGATGCAAAGAAAAAAGATATAGAGAAACCTTTGCCACCGTTTATTTTGGCTGCAGGGGTAAGTATCATTCAGTTTTCTGTTGAAATTATTTTTGAAGTCTGTTAACAGAAGTCAAAATGTGTATTGTTAGCTTTTATCAAGGATTTTAAGATAAGCAATTGGTTTAATATACGATGAAGAAATCACACAAATTGGGAGATTAATGCATATCACTCGACATACATACATACATACATACATAAGTTCATGAAAGTAAATGTAAATGAATGAGTGTTGAAAAACTTTTTATTTTTGTCTCAGGCATATTACATTTTAAAATCAGCGATAATCTTTCTCGTATCTATTTAAAGAATAGATGAGTTTCAAGTTGTAGCAGGGGGTGGCAGGTGGTTTAATTTCTAGCCCGCTGAATTTATTTGCTGTTTTTTCCTGTTCCCTGAATTCTGAACATTTAAGTGTAGAAATCACCCCCTCCCTACGCAGAGGAAATTACACCCGAGTACCCAAAGTTTTTTAACGGCGTAACTTGAAACTTGTCTATTGAACAGTAATTTGTTTAAAATATTAACCAATTGTTGAAAATTAAATATCCTTATTTTATAATTTGTGCTATATAAATATATACATGGTGATAACATCATAATTTTTTATACAGGAAACGGGATATCCATTCAGTCGTTTTGAGTCAAAGAATTATTGCACATTATGCAAAGTGTTTATACGCGAGGCAGAGGTAATGTATACATGTAGTTTTCAGACATTGATTTATGTTATTTTTGTCCTGTGATTGTTTTCTATGTTATGTACAAACAAAACAATCCAGTAACTGTGTTTTGTGCTTTCTTGCAATGACGTACTACATCAACACTTTTTATTGCTATTTTAGTTTATTTCACCACCAGTTCCCTCTTTTCATCACAAATTCACTAAATAATTTTGTTTTATAGTCTGCACTTTTTCTTCTGGAGATTGGGACAAAAATAGCCAAATTGTTTGAGCAAAAACTGAAAATTGACTAAAATTTTGTCTGTTGACTCCAAAATTAGGGTTCGATTTCAGAAATATTGAAGAATATGTAAGAAAAAAATTGCAGACAAATTTGGGCGAGAAAGTCTGATGGTAAAAAGGTTAAAAAGTATGAGACTATATATAGAAAAAAACTTTCTCACAGTGAGAATTCAAATTCAACTGTAAGTCTCACACTTTTCACCATAATAATGAGTGTCCTCTGTACTCATTATGCGAGAGTGTAGGGTTAAATTAGCATATTAAAAATAAATATATTCTATTCTATATTGGTATTATAATCAACTTGAATACTGTTAATTGCTCTTACAGGGTCCATAGCGTTGGGAAAATCCTTTGAAAGTCTTTGGATTTTGTGAGGTCTGGAAAATCTTTGAGTTGTCTTTAAATTACAGAAAAAATAAAAAAAAATCGTTGAAAAGTCTTTAAATTTCTTCATAGTTATTAATTCATTTTAGAAAGGCCTGTTCTTTCCAGGGAACTACCATATTCTCAGAACTTTGATGAGCTTTGGTGATGATGTTGCCCTGAATTAAGGGCCAAAATGTCCTTGAAAAATGCAAGAAAGTTTTGGAAAATGTTTGGAAAAGTCTCGGAAATCATTTGGCTATTGGTGCTATGGACCCTGTCTTATACAAGGACGTTTCAAATAAAAAATTGTATTTCCTGTATAGTAGATCTTAAATAATATGTGTAGGTGCTCATGATTTATGTAACGTGATTACTAAAACATATATCATTTTGGTCGTAGACTCTCATCATTTATGTAATCTCATACATGACATGCAGGGCAATACTGTACCTCAAAACAGTGGTTTTTAAGAACTCTCACTTAATTACATCTAATATATTTTTTTTTATTTCAATACAGATTCTGTCAGATCATCTAGAGAGTGAAAGACATGCTGTGAATCTTATAGATCATAAAAAAGATATTAGTATTGTAATAATAATATATTATTATAATTATAAGTATTTCAGTCAAATTTTCATTGAACAAGATATTGTCAATGACACGTCCCCGTTCCGTTCATATTTGAGTGACATATACATTCAAAGCAGATCATGACCGAAATGCACCTGCATATGTACAACACATTGTACTAAATCTGAACAAAATCCATCCATGCATGACTGCATTTTCGGCTTTAAAATGGCCATCATTCAACTATTGTTAAGCGGATCATGAAACAAATGCACATATCTATTTGTGACATGATGTACCATGTGTGTGTGAAGTTTGAACTTGATCAATCCAGACATGTCTTGGATACGGATCCAGAACTGAATTCTTTAATAAAATGGCCACCAGT